GGAATTTCAAAATAGGTTGACTAAAAGAAGAAATAAATTTGCTTGCAGCAAAATTTCCTCCTCGACGTCCACCATATTGTTTGCTGCGATTTTCCCGCCAGCACAACGCGCGTGTAATTTTGACAGTTCCGATGTCCGAAATGTATGCAACATTCGAATCTGCGATCGCTTGCGATCGTCTGCGATTATATGGAAACAACTCTCTTTGCGATCGTCTGCGATCTGCGATTTGCGATCCGCGATCGTCTGCGATCGTCTGCGATCATCTGGAAACTGTTGAAACTGTTGAAAGCAGACCAAATTGAAATTTGTTTTTAGTAATTGACAGGTTTTAAAAAGAGCCTTTTCAATTTGATATCACAACCTTGTGAATGCCTAGTCTACCGCAATAATCCAGTGGAGATATCGTGTTTGAAACATTGGTGATCTGTCTGTTTCATCTTTTTGAGAAATAAGGCCTCAACGAATGGGCACCCTTTTTGTTTCCCTTGTTAAAGTCATTGAAGGGGAAACTTCTGTGTACATTGTGTTGCAGATGGGATAAAATTAAACGTTACTGCGGCAGTATATGTGCTGGCCAAAAAATGGTTTCTATTGTTTGACTTATCTGCATCGCCTATGATTGAATTGTGCGATATCTTTTCGTTAGGCAACCATTCGATCTATGTAATTTTCGTGCGATTTCTGGCGCTGCGATATTTTACGGTCACGTTTAGATTTTTTTAAAATTTTCCTTCTTGCTCCGCTTGAAGGGTCACAAAGGTATGTTCTCGTAGCTTTAAATAGGAATTGTTTGCTTTGAACGTCTTATTAAATCTTTCGATTCAGTTTTTGGCAACGCGCTACAAAATCCTATCAGGTGACCATTGCGTGACAGACAAGTCGAGTCGTGGCGCATGATGGAAAATCAAAATTTTTTATATTCCTTCCACAGACAGCCTATGGTAAGCCTAGAAACGTGTGGGATTTTTTTCTTGAAAAATTTTTTAAAACCCGCCAAAAAATCAAAAATTCGTTACGGTCCCACATCTGGTCAAAAACACGCAAAATGCAGCGACTAATACCTAATCATAAACTTCGCTCTGTACTATGGGGTGCCATTTCCGCCAAAATTATTGTTTTATTATTATTAGGCACAATGTTTTATTATTAGGCACCAGTTAATTATTATTAGGCACAATGTTTTATTATTNAAGAAGAAATAAATTTGCTTGCAGCAAAGTTTCCTCCTCGACATCCGCCATATTGTTTGCTGCGATTTTCCCGACAGCACAACACGCGTGTAATTTTGACACTTCCGCTGCCCGAAATGTATGCAACAGTCGGCCTTGCGACCGCTTGCGATCGTCTGCGATTATATGGAAACAACTCTCTTTGCGATCGTCTGCGATCTGCGATTTGCGATCCGCGATCGTCTGCGATCGTCTGCGATCATATGGAAACCAGCCTTTAGTCAAGAAATGGAGAGGCAAGATTTCCGTACAACCCCAACATTTATTATGCATATAGTTCTTTTGTTTAACTAAACAACAGCAAAGACGAAAGCGCTCCTTTGAGACTTACCTGATTTGAATAACTCTAAATTTTACCATTTTTATTTTTCTGTGTCGCATACTTTTTAGTGTGTGTGTGTGTGTGTGTGTGTGTGTGTGTGTGTTTTGTTTGTTTTTTTTTCGAATTTTCTATCTAAAATACGCAAAAACGGGACCATTTCTTGGAGACTTCGAGTTTTAGGTCTAAATTATGGAAAACCGAAACGAAATATCATAATTTTGGGCGCATTTACCGTATTTTTAAACTGAGTACAGGCTTAAAACTGCTTAAAATAATAGCGATTTAGACCTGTACGCTAGTTTAAAAAGGCTTAAAAATACCGTTTTAGGCCTAAGCAAAACCGGCTGCTTGTGGTTAGCTATAATCTGTTGCGTGGGTCAGCGACTATTATACTAATTTTGTAAATGTAAACAAAGTGAAATANGCGATCTGCGATTTGCGATCCGCGATCGTCTGCGATCGTCTGCGATCATATGGAAACCAGCCTTTACATTTGCTTGCGGTTAGCTTTTATTTGTTGGACAGTGCCATATGCAATATAATGCTGTCCTTAACAAACAGAAGCTAACCGCAAGCAAACATGAGTGAAACTACTAAACCGCAAGCAAATAGTGCATTTGGCGTTCGGCTTTCTGCAAAATACCCCTGCCGTGCGATCGTCCACAAATAAAAATTACATTTTAACAGCAATCATAATTACCCCAAGCAAGACCCTTGGTGTGTTGTAGGCCCGGGTTGTGGAGGCGTCAAGTTTCCCTCGGTAAACATAAAGTGCGGTCCATGATTGGCTAATTAACCTTCTGCCACGTGCACCGTGTGTTGTGAAGATTGGTGATCATGGATTCTTGATCTCGATTACTCTCTGAAATTGTACGTGACGAGGCCGAACTACTAATTAATCGTATCAGTCAGAAATTTCGAGATTGAAAAAGTTTAAAGAATGTCTTCAGTAGTGTTTTCCAGAACCTTTGCAAACCGAAGGGAAACTTAGGAAGCAATTAAGGCGCACGTAATACACCATTTTACAGTTGTCTGTTCAGTGACCTGGCCTTTGAATGGCGGCGAGGTCGGAGGTGACCTTGTTTTGATTAAGACCTCACTTTTTTTGTTGTGTAAATCAAGTTGTTCTTATGCTAAGTAATTTGCATTTACATGAGAAAAGCAGAGAGGTCTGTATCAAAGCAAGGTCACCTCCAGCCTCGGTTGCATTCATAGGCCAGGTAACTAAGCACAACTGTAAAATGGCCTATTCACGTGTGAATGCTCGAATAGTGATGGTGCCCAGTTACAGATATCCATTCAAAAAATTGTTTCAATGATCCACTTTTTAATAAATACAAAATAGCCTCCATTCTGCTTGGATATTTGTCCGCGGACATAATCTGTTCCGAGAAGCGAACATTTTTATGAGAGCGTAGGTCGAGGAAAACTGAGAGCTTTGAGACACAGATTATGTCCATGGACAAATATCCGCGTATAATTCCGCTTCTAATGGAGGCTATCATATTTATTATCCTTCAATTTTTTTCCAACACGGGCAGTTTTGAAAATCGCACGCGAGCGAAAATATTTGATGGATTGTAAGTTCACTTGGTGCCACATGATACATGACACAGTTTCACCATGCATGTGTCAACAATGGAGACACTAGGCTCTGCCTCTCCGTAATAAAAAAAGTTCAACTGTAGTTTATTTGGGCTCCTTCTTTAGATTTTTAACTGAAAATCCGCAAGAGAGCTGAGCCAAGAGTAGCCTGAATGTAAGATGAGTCGTTTTCCTTATTGAGTTCTCAATGGAGACGTTTGCACACAGGCTAAGTAAGTATTGTAGTGTATAATGATACCTAAAGAAAGTTGTCTTTGACTTTAAAAGAACTACAAGAGATGCTCATGACCTGAGAATGAATTTCTGTTTATTAACGTTTCAAATTACCATACAAAAATTACGCTACAACAAAAGGTTGTACAAAATTGTTTGCTAGTTAACAACTGACCCGCCAATGTACGTTTGAACTTATGAGTACAATTTACATAGCTATATATGAAGTGTATTGTGTGTGGCTACAGCTGACACTGACTTCGTTGAGCGTGGGCTCTGCACTATTTCAAAAACGTATTGTGTTATACTACCTGTACAAAGTCTTGACCTGTTGGTAACTCAAAATCACCCGCTTTGCTAATGCGATAAAATACAAATAAAAAAGCCAGAATAATTAAAATCCCTTGATGATTGGTCTCCTTGAATTACTTACACCTTAATCTTACGCTGACAATGAAGCATTCACCAAGCGACACTGATACAAACTGCAAATGCTAGAAGTATATACATACACTCGCTATAATAATTATGCCAATTAATATGATAATCATTATATAATAATGTTAGTCTATTACTAAGCCTAGGGAACGAATCATATGCGACATCAAAACTACAACGAAAGACCGCGAAGAGGGGTTCCTTATGAGAAACTGAAGACCAGTGCAGTTGTGTTCCAGGACAAGCCTTGATCCGACAAGGTGTCTGCTTTCTTAGGAGACTGATTCTTACAGTTCTCATCTAAAGCTAATTTCATTGAAGTATTAGTCATTGTTTCATTTCCTAGCCGCACTTCTGGGTCTAGACCGTGCAGAGCTGTTCCTTCGTCCATCCCGCTGACCGCCTCCCAACATGGCTAAGGCACCTGCTGCTGCCATGAGAAGATCCTGTAGAGTAACACAACACAACAGCGTCGCGGTCACGTTCGTTTAACGACAATTAACGATTATCAATCCTTGTTAGGCTAGATATTACAGTCACATCGCACTAAAGAAAGTAAACATGAGCAAGTCACAATCTTCAACAGAATGAATTATGTAATTTGTGATCGTGCCCGGCTTTGGCGCATGTAGGATGTTATTTGATGTATCTTTTATCCACTTTGTTGTAACCTCATTGTGTCAATTTAAACATATTTTGGGCCTCGCTACCAACGCGCCCATGTCTCATAACCTTGGAGTGAGTGAGTTTGTGTAGTGAAGGCAAAATTAGTGTAAATTGCACAAAACGTGATCAATAAAACAAATGCCAGTTATACCTCGTGTTCATCATCTGAGAAATTTGACTTGGCCTCAGAAAGTACTTTTGTGATATTAGCGTTCAGTTTCATTTCCTCTCTGATGTCCTCTAATAAAATGACCAAATTAATTCACATTGTTAGAAGGTAAAACTGCGACAATATTCTCACTCAACCTAACCCTAACCCTAAGTACACACATGTAAACTTACCATACTCAACCAACTCAGAAAAAAGGACGCAAATGTTCTCTACTACTTCGTCATTGGTTTTCATGTTACTAGACAAACAACAAAACAAACTTCTGTTAGTTATCAGTAAGTGGAATGCTTTAATGCAACAAGACTGTACCACTGTCAAGTTAATATCTAATTTGGTTCTGCCTATGAAAATGTTCCATTACTGTTCATAGCTGAAGTACTACAATGATCAGTTGAGTAAGGCACGAGGGAAGTTTGGTTACGAAGTTTTGGCCTTGAAATTATAGTGTTGTCACGGGCAACTTACCTCGTTTCCGTTGGTAACAATATCAACAGCCGTTGGTCGCCTGTCGCGTCGCCTAATATTTCGCGCGCTTTGCTGCCAATGACGTTAAAGGCCGACAAGTTGTCAATGGATACAAAGCCAGTTGCTCTTGACAACAACACGATTTTTACGTTAAAACTTGGTGACCAAACTTTAGTCCCGCCTTACTCAACTGATAATCGTAGTATCTGTACATAACGGCCTATCAAATACAACGCAGTAAGACAAGGAAATCTTAATGGTTCTCGCTTACTTGTAAGCAGAAATAATGTTCTCTATTCCTTCCTCCTTCAGCAGCTGGTATGCACACACCTCTGAAAAGAAATCAGTCCAGTTGTTACATGCAGACTCTTGCAGACCTCCAAAACGTGTCATATATAAATTAGACCTCATCGGACAGTTTGCTGTCATCAACACACCTCGGGCCTCGACGATACTTGCTAGTGCCATGCAAGCGTTCTTTATGACTTTAGCTTCCTGTAACAACAAAACAGCCAATTGCATGAGTCCTAAATGAGGAAATAATCCCCTCTGACATTACAGCTGAGCGATATTTTAACAACAACTATTTATCGTAAAATGTTTTCACAGAATCAGACTTCAAGCATCAACAAACCTTTTTGTGCATTTTGATGGCATCCACGATCAAGTCAATGACATTAAGGTCTTCCATCAATTCAAGATTCTCCTCTACAAATAAAAAAAAATCCATCAATTGCATGTTGATTAAATTTAATGGACTGTCTCTTTAGAATAAACCAGGAATCAGTATTATTCGAAGTAAACAAGCACACAGGTGCGGAGCGACTTCGGAGATTACCTTCCATAGAGAGTGACCACAGGGCAGAACATGCCGCCTCCACCAGTTCAACATCTGTGTTGTGTCTCCCCATAGCAAGGCAGATGTCTTCAAGACCACGTTCCTCTGACACGATCTTACAGTTGGCTTCTACAAAGTCCACAACACACAATTCCATGATCACCATCAGTGACTGAATACTATGACAAACGAGGGCAAATCTACTCATGCTACTTCTGCCAGACGTTTTGTACCCTGCCTGAGATGTGGCCACTGAAATAAAACCACAGGTCAGGAGCACCCAATGACCGTTTTCTCTCGAATGATTTTAAAAAATGTTTTAGACTATCTGGAGTACTTTTAAAGCCCCGTAGGTTAATTTTAGGTTGCGCTAAAAACATTTTACCTGTTCGGTTATTCTAGGGGAACTTGAGTATTCTCGATTTTATTAGGGCTTTTTGTCCATTTCCCGAAAACCTCAGGTCTTATCGCCTTTCCGAAAATGATAGCTGACCTTTTTTCGGTACCCAAAACGACAGTTTTAACAATCCGAAAACAACAGACATTAAATTTCTAGAAGTGGGTTGATTTCGTGAAACAAAAGAGAGCGAAGTGGGAGCCTACACGAAATTCCTCGATATGCTCGAGACACTTCACTGAAGATGATTATATTCGTCGCTTCAGCTTCGTTGATGAAGTAACAAACAAGCCAATCATGCCAAGGCTTAAACGCGATGAAATCGGCATAACTGCTGTGCCATCAGTCCATGCCGAAGCGGTGACAAAAACACCAGTGGTCACTGAAAGTGCAAAGCGTCGTCTTGAACGGGCGGTAAGAATCTTTGTCAAATGTTTCGAACTTCTTGGTTTAAGATATTCTTACTGCGAAAGAAAAGCTTCTGAAATGATTAAGAATTCATCTTTCATTTCTCTAGACGCTCAAGAATGCGAAGAGGAGGATGCAGAGTTTGACCCCCACGGAAACTCCAAGTAATCCCACGTGTACCAGCGAGATTTTCACTCAAAGTGAATCGTGTGAACACGACGAGGAAGAGCGAGAGATGCAAAGTGAAGATGCACCGGTCAGCTCGACACCGAGTGAAAACAATTTAGATACTTTTGCTGAACTGCATGATCCGGTAAGAAGCTTTTATTAACGGTATTTTGACGTGTAAACGTCTTGAACTAGTGGGATTTTTGTCTTGCAAGCGTGCATAAAAAGTGTGATTCAGCCACAGGTAAACCAAACTGTCAGTCAGTCTTGTAACCCGGGACTTGAGCAGTCAAACCGACTCCAATTTTAATCAAAAATTATGGCAATTAAAATTTATTTCAATTATTGGACATTGCACACTCGGAAAATGTATGAGCTTTTTTTTATACATTTGCAAAGTACTGTGATAAAGTAACAATTTGAAGTTTTTAAAAATTATGGTCTATTATACATGTACAGAATGAAGAGCAATCAACAGTTCCACCCCCTGTAATGTCAGAGTGCTCTGATTGTGAGAGACTGGCCAAAAGAAACCGACAACTGAAGAATCAGCTTATAACAGCAAAAGTAAAACTGAGGAGCAGCAGGCTGGAAGTGAAGAAATTGAAGAAATATTCTAAGGAAAACAGAGCAGGTAATGTTTGTTATGTTATAACCTACAACTGTAACTAGTATGCCAATAATTTGAACTTGTCTTTGTGGTAAAATAACTAAAATAAGTATTAAAGTCATTCTTTTCTGTAACATTGTTATTTACATGTAGGTCAAGAAGTTGATCCACCTGCCAACATTGTTGAAGAAACCTGTGATGATGAAGAGGATGAAAACAAAGGAAGTGATAGTCAGCATGAAACAACTGAAGAAGAGCCTGACTTTTCTTCGGACGGTGTATATGAACCTGACACTGAAACTGACACAGCTTCAGAGCAAGAAGACACTAATTTTTCAGGCGACAAGTGCATTTTATCTACTTTCTTTCTATATCATTCAGTACACATCACATCCCGACTACATGTACACCTGTACGTGGATGAATATTATACTGCCAGGTTTGGGGAAATAACCCCAAAAAGTCACATTGAGATTGATTGGTGAATTATTATAATAAATTTGTCTTGTTCTCCCAAAACCATGGGGCAAAACTAGAATTTTGAGATATTAAAATTGGCTGGTTTATGTTACATGCATGCCACTTAGATAGTGCGATGAAGTTTCATGTTGATTTAGATGAGTTTGCAAGTGTACATGGAGCATTGTTCCTGAGTGAGGGCTTACATAGTGTACCATATCTGTATATAGTCTAGTGTTTTCTAATCTTCCATATGATTTATCCAAGTGTTTGTACTGAGTGTTATGACCAGGAGGCCAAACTCTTTCTGTTATAAAAATATGAAAGTTCTCCACATGTTGTTTGATAATACCCCAGCTGGTCCAATGCATTTTAACTTTATATGACAGGCTGATCTAAAATATTTAAGAATAAAAATAAGCAACAAGAGTTTTGCACTTGCACAACATTTCAATGTTGCCATGACATCATTTTCAAGTGAGAAGGAAAAAAAACTTCTCACTTGAAAATAATGTCATGGCATGCAAGTGCAAAACTCTTATCGCTAATTTTTATTCTTAAATGTTTGTATAAATTTAATCTCATTCATCTAAAATAATTAATAAATAATTGTTTTGTCCCCATTCCATCCCTTCACAGAGTGNACACTAATTTTTCAGGCGACAGGTGCATTTTATCTACTTTCTTTCTATATCATTCAGTACACATCACATCGCGACTACATGTACACCTGTACGTGGATGAATATAATACTGCCAGGTTTGGGGAAATAACCCCAAAAAGTCACATTGAGATTGATTGGTGAATTATTATAATAAATTTGTTTTGTTCTCCCAAAACCATGGGGCAAAACTAGAATTTTGAGATATTAAAATTGGCTGGTTTATGTTACATGCATGCCACTTAGATAGTGTGATGAAGTTTCATGCTGATTTAGATGAGTTTGCAAGTGTACATGTAGCATTGTTCCTGAGTGAGGGCTTACATACAGTGCTTACTGCTTACATACAGTGTACCTGTATATAGTCTAGTGTTTTCTAATCTTCCATATAATTTATCCAAGTGTTTGTACTGAGTGTTATGACCAGGAGGCCGAACTCTTTCTGTTATAAAAATATGAAATTTTTCCACATGTTTTTTGATAATACCCCAGCTGGTCCAATGCATTTTAACTTTATATAACAGGCTGATCTAAAATATTTAAGAATAAAAATAAGCGATAAGAATTTTGCACTTGCACAACGTTTCAATGTTGCCATGACATCATTTTCAAGTGAGAAGGAAAAAAAAAACTTCTCACTTGAAAATAATGTCATGGCATGCAAGTGCAAAACTCTTATCGCTAATTGTTATTCTTAAATGTTTGTATAAATTTAATCTCATTCATCTAAAATAATTAATAAATAATTGTTTTGTCCCCATTCCATCCCTTCACAGAGTGTTCATCAAAGATAACCTGCGAATGCAGCCAAAATTCTTAGTTTTCCTGTCTCAGCTACTGCTCCTGTTTAAATTTTGTCACTCCTGCAAAGCTGATAATCCACTCGTTGAAACAAAGCAAGTTGGTACCATGGCAGTGATCACTTCCACCTGTACCAACAAGAGGTGCAACAGGAAGGACATAGTTTGGAAAAGTCAACCAAATATGCCTGGCACTAAGATTCCTGCTGGTAATTTCCTGTTGTGCATGTCGATATTGCTGTCTGGCAGTTCTGCATCAAAGGTCTTACAGATGTTCCAGCACATGGGAGTAGCCTGTTTTTCCCTAAAGACATTCTTCAAGCACCAACATGTAAGTTATGAACTTTACATAGTCCAACTATAATAATCAAATGCAAATCATCTTGTACTAGTTGTTTAATATTTCAAATAGCAGGCCTTTCAGAAATGAAATACCCAAAGGATCATCTGGGAGATTCTTTGCTATTGATTATTAAATTACTGAAAGCTAATCAGTATTTATGTGATTAAATTAGGCAACAAGTTTGATATAGGTTTTCCCCCACAGGAGAAACTGTTTCCAACCATTCATTTGTACTGGAAGTCCTACCAAGACAAGATGATGGTCAAATTGAAGGAATTAGGTCAGGTGGTAATATCTGGAGATGGAAGGTATGACAGCATGGGGCATAGTGCAAAATTTGTTGCATACACCATATTTTGTTGCACTTTGCCCCTTATCATTCACTTCTCTCTTGTTCAGGTAATGGCATGGTCATGATATGGTTGATGAAGCCCTGTTGGGGTAAATTCTGACAAGTGACATGGTCCAAAACGAATCAATGACACAGAGAATTAAATGTTATGTCAAAACAAAATCTTGCTCACCAAATCTCGGACAGGTCAGAGATTAAGAGGAATAAAGATAAAGTACCGACATTTTTTTCTCTGAAGACATCATAATCAGGTTGCATGCTGCTAACAGTGTTTGTTCATATGTTGTGGTTTAAAATTTTCTTTGGTTTAAATCTTTTCAAATTGATCAGCCTGATTTATAGTGTCCTTTTTCAGTTTGAGTGTTTCAGATAATGATGTTCTAAAGGAAATGAAAGGAAATAAAAATTTATACCTACATGTATAATGGAAAAATTAAACCAAAGACAAAATTGAACAGCAAAACATACATCTACTGGTCCATCTAGTGTGTTTCCCTTAGACAACACTTTTAAGACACATTCTTCTATCTTGTAGAGGAATGTTGCAGGAAGCAGCCCAGCTATGGAGTTCCTTGGGTTTAAGAACTGCATGGTATATCTCCTTGGATATGGTCTGATGATCAGCACCCTGATAACCGATAGACATGCATCCATCCGAAAATACATGAGAGAGCAACAGAAGAATATCAAGCACTACTTTGACCTATGGCATATAAAGAAAAGTAAGAATCTAATTATCTCTAGCCGTGGATTCTTCAGAGTTCCCAAAGTTACTTTATATCTGCTTGTCTTTTTTTGGTAGCAGGCCTTGTCTGTTAAGAGCTCATTATTCTGAACACAACTGCACAGGGCAATTTTGTTAAAAAATAATTTTGTGTAACAATGATCATTACAAGTTAACACTGTTTGCGGTTAAATATACAGTAGGATGGAACAATAACTTATCAAATATGGTGTATGTTTATCCTTAGAGATCCACAAGGTTCTAACCAGTATTAGCAAGGAAAGTGGCTGTGCATCTTTGATCAACTGGATCAGACCCTGTGAAAACCATTTCTTCTGGAGTGCTACATCGACTTTGTCTGGAAATGACAATGTCATATATGCTAAATTTAAATCTTTCTTGAGTCATGTTATTAACAAGCATAATTTAGATGATCCACTTTTCAACAGATGCAATCATGGTGAAATAAAAGACAGGACAATTGGCTTGAAAAAGGTAGTGTAATAGTTGAATTACATGTACATGATGTAGTTCGTGGAAATATCCACTTACCCCCCACCCTCCCCTTACACAAACACCACCACCCCTCTCCATGGAAGTGATAAGAAAGTGCACTTTTGAGATAACAAAGCAAGTGATTAAGCGTGTGTGCAAAATATTAACAGAGTTGCTTATTTGTTGTCATAGATTCCCCAGTATATTATGAGAAAATGTGCTCTGCCCTGAACAATGCTTCCTTGGTCAGTGGGATCAAACAGGCCTCGCCTGAGGCACAAACCAGCTGCTTGGAGGGCTTTCACTCTACACTTAACCAGTTTGCACCAAAAATGATAGCCTTCTCATTTATAGGAATGTATTGCAGGTTGGTTGTCCAATCAATCCTTTTCATAAAAAGACAATAAACTGAATTAGAGTAATTGGAGTGACAAATAAATTGTCTGGATTAATAGCAATGGATTACTTATGTACCAAGAACAGTATTATAGACATTGCATGCTTACCTTCTGACAAGGATTGGCCAGCGATGAAGGAAATTGACTCTCTTCTATAGTGAAATGCCAGGCTTTAAATGCAGTCATTTTATCTGAAATCTCAGCACATTCTAATTTTTGTTTGCTCTTTTTTTGAAAGGCACATAATTGCTGCTCTATATTCCAATCTCAACCTGTTGCGAGAAGTGAAAAAAAATGCAGATGGTACAGAGCAAGTGAAAGTGGTGTGGTCAAAATTTAAAAATGGCAAGGCCACTGTGCGTGATGTGAAAGTGGAGCCCAACTATGGTAAAATATATATCTACATGTAGATTAAACTAAAGGTGTTGTACATGACCTGAACCACCACAATTCTGCTAAAAGTATGAATTATTTTCTGAATTTTTTTTTTCCTTGTCCACTAAATAAGAGGTGTGTCCTATTATTATTGCAGATTATGTGGAGGATATCTACCAAACATATATTGAATCTCAGGAAAAAGGCCAGCTTGGGGTTGCCATGCAGGAATTGAGTGACATGAATCCCCCACCGATGAATACAATGTTGGAAAGGCAATCAAGGGAGGAGGCCATTGTTAAGAGGGCAGAAAGGAAAGGAAAGACAGTCAAAGATGTGCCCCCAACAACACCTGGTAATTTCAATAAAATACAAAAAGTACCATTCAACCCTAGTCAGGGTCAGTGTGTTATGTTCTTTGACATATCACTTTCACTGTTCTTTTCTAGTCTGATGAAGAAATGCTTTATACTGAATGCCATGGAAATTGGGTTGAATTTTAAATGCCTTGTCTACCAGTGACAAAGATGCTATAATCAAATACCTTAAGAATACACTTCCAAAATTTTGGTTTTCCTGTTTGCCAATAAGAAACCAAACTTTTAAGACTTCAATGGCTCACTTTATTATCCCCTGAATCCCATTTAAAAGCATGGCTTACACTCAAACATCATTTATTTTAAGTTACAGAGACTCATGGAATCCAGCAGCCGCCACAGGCCACTAAAGGAAAGCCCCGCTACTGTTCCACATGCCAGCAGCCTATGAAAGGACACAAAAATGTGACCACCTGCCCAAAAAATCAGAAGGGAATCTAAATGAAGCAAAATGAGAACTTCAGAGATATAAATATTCCAATTTGTTTAACTATGAAACAATGTTCAATTCATGTCTATGAGCTGTCCATCATTCAACATCTTCAGTTTCAAATCCAGCATATGAAGATTTCTCCTCTGGAAATGTTGTTCTTATTGCATGGTATGTGCATGCAGGCAAAGGTATCCTCCTCCCACCTAAGTNTTTAAGACTTCAATGGCTCACTTTATTATCCCCTGAATCCCAGTTAAATGCATGGCTTATCACACAAACACCATTTGTTTTAAGTTACAGAGACTCATGGAATCCAGCAGCCGCCACAGGCCACTAAAGGAAAGCCCCGCTTCTGTTCCACATGCCAGCAGCCTATGAAAGATACAAAAATGTGACCACCTGCCCAAAAAATCAGAAGGGAATCTAAATGAAGCAAATTGACAACTTCAGAGAAATAAATATTCCAATTTATTTAACTATGAAACAATGTTCAATTAATGTCTATGAGCTGTCCATCATTCAACATCTTCAGTTTCAAAACCAGCATATGAAGATTTCTCCTCTGGAAATGTTGTTCTTATTGCATGGTATGTGCATGCAGGCAAAGGTATCCTCCTCCCACCCAAGTATCCATGGACAAGGCGAGTAAATTCTCGATAGGAAATACCACGCAGAAACCTATTATGAAAAAAATGATATTTAGATGAAAGGGTAGTGTCACAACAGAGAATTCTACATTCTAGCTCATTTTGTATTTTGTTCGATTTATATTAAAAAATACTTGTATCCAGCTCAGTTTTGTTTCTTGGATATAAATATGTATATACAGTAGAAAGAGATATTTTTCTGGATAGAGTGCATACGTGCATGGACATGCATGGAAAATTTTCTGACAACTCTGTCCAATATCTGTCCATAAATTTCATGCAAAAGAATTTCTATCTGAGACAAATCCTAATCAAAGNAAAGCACCACAACAGTTAGATGCAATGTCCTTATTGTCAGGGAATGCTCTCAAGGCAGATAACAAATCTTGGACTCCTCCATAACGGCCGATTATTTCACCTGCTGCCTCTAAATAGAGAAATAAAAAATATACAGATCACACTCAATTTCGTTATATCACTTTCGATATAATAAAATTCAGCTCGATAGTGAGGCCTTGAAGACAAAATCAAAAGAAAGGAATAAACATGTCATTCAATTTCCTTCGTTTGTGTCCTCTAAGCCTCACTGCCAAGCTGAATTTTAATATACCGAAAACAGTCTATTGGATATCAAAGAATCGGAAAACAGTTTACAGTAAAAATCAGGTTGGCATTCAATATTTGAACGAGGCTTAGTTTAAATTTAAATACTTCATATGAAAGACAATGACATTTGAACGGTGCAATGAGACGTACCATCAGCTGAAAGAGCCATGAGTAACTGACAGCCGCATGACTGCAATTCTGAAGATGAGATATGGGACTGCAAAGAATGAAACGAAGTTTATATGAGGGAACATTATGAGTGACGTATCTGACAAAGATCTTCAGTTAATATGTGGACTGTTGGTTTGTACTGCAAATGCCAGCTTCCACTACAATGCTACTAGTGATACGCACAGCGTGATTGAGAGAAAGAGAGCACTGTGTCACTAACAGCAAATGTATTTATTTATTTATTAAGCTTCGGCCTTCTATTACATATAAAGAAAAAGAAAAAGAAGAGGAAGCAAAAAAAAA